TCAAATCATATTATATGCTATAATATTATATTATGCATACATAACTAAACATTTTGAATTKTTACTCTTATTCAACCTGCTCTTTAAAAACTTAAATTACGAAACTTTAAGAGGACGTATCACCCGCTTGTGTTCAGTAAAACCAGTTTTATATTTTCATGTAATTGTTATAGTGAATTTATTAATTATAAAATTTATCTGCATTTGGATGTTGGTTTTTATGATATAAGAGTTATTAAATGAGTTATGAGTATGYGTAATATGATAAATGTCTCATGAATCGATTAAAAATTTAAATATTTCCAAAAATCAACGGTCAAACACAGATAATGTCGTTATTTTTAGGTAAGTCTGATAATAGGTCAATTCACACTAAATGATAAAAAATTCATAATATGCTAATGCRACGTTCTCTTAAAACCAACTCCTAGAACGTATATTATGTTAAATTTTAAATTTCAATATTTGTGGTTTGCTTGTTAATTAAAAATATCATAGCTCCCGATAATATAATTTATTGCTGTGTTTAGAGTCATGATAACTGAAGCATACACTTCTATGGAAAACACAATGAGATATTATGGTAATGAGACCAATTTAGGAGCACATATGCCATTCAACTTTGGATTGATCGATCGATTAAATGATCATTCGAACGCCACTAAATTCAACGATGTGATAAATAATTGGTTGGACAATATGCCTGAAGGGAAATGTGCGAACTGGGTGGTAAGTATCATCGCGAGTTGGCCTTTATTCTGGCATCTCTTTTGCTCATCTCTTTTGAAAAATACATACAACAATAGAGAATAATGACAAATAATATAACAAATTTAAGTGTAAGTGGAAAAACTATTCATCAACAAATAGCTTGGCTGTTAATAATCCGACCATAATTTTAGGTCCATAATCTTCTAAAACACATTAACAAAACTAATTGCCTTAAAATTGATAACGTAAGTTTGATCGGGCAGTGGTAATTATTAATTAATGTACAAACTCTGCAATGAACAATAAGCAAATTATTTTGATATCTTTATAACCTATTAATAATTATTATTATCTTCCAATAACGTATTGTTTTTAAAATTTAAATGGTATATAGATAACATGTATGCGATACCAAACGCATGTATCTCTGAACTAGAAAACGATACTATAAGCTCATTATTGATACGAAAAAAATTCCATCTTCGTGATATAAGATTACGAAATGGACGAGTTGCATCCCGGCCAGGGGCGTCATTTGGGGGGTCGCAGGGTGTGCGGTTGCACCCCTTACTTTTAGAATGTTACAATTGGCCTGCGCCTTGCTGAAGCCTAAAATAATACACGAGCCACGACCCACGAATGCACAATTATTTATATGATTAAAATCAAATTGTAATAACCGGTCTATAATGTATGAAAATAATTGAATGCAGGATAAT